AGCAGGACTGAGAAAGGGAACTCAGGGAACTACTGAACAACTTAATACCTCCTTCAAAGATGTGTTTTGGAGCAAATGTGGTTAGATGCCATTAAGAGACACCTGAAAGACAGCGAAGTGGTTTGGAGCAGCCCCGGGGCGGAGGTGGCGGTGACGGCAGGGAGGAGGCGCCGCGGGCGGAGCAGAGCCGGGGCTGGCGGGGGCAACGCTGCGGAGTGCGGCGCGGGCTGCGGAGCGGCGGGATGCGGCAGTGCCGGGCCGCGGGGCTGGCGGGGCTGGCCGCGGTGCTCCTGGGTGCGCGGGGCTGCCGCCGGCGGGGCCGAACTGCGGGGGCACGGGGCGCCGGGGCCGCGCTCGCCTCTGGATTCTTTCTTACATCGTGCACATCTCTCCTGTGCATGAAATTGCTGTGAGAGAAAATGGATTTTGTCAGTTTGCTGCTTCTTTTCTTCTCGGCAGCGGCTGTGAGCAGAGCCCAGGTGCAGCAGGAGCTGTCGGCAGAGACCAGCGAGGGCACCGGCATTAACATCACCTGCTCACACCCCAACATAAAGACCGGCGATTACATCCACTGGTACCGCCAGCTCCCGGGCCGAGGACCCGCATTCCTCCTCAGCGCCGTTAGAGGTTCCAAGGAGGCTCCCGACCTGCAAGGGCGGCTGTGGGTGTCGGCAGATCGCCGCTCCAGCGCCCTGTGGCTCGCCCGGCCCCGGCGCGGCGACGCGGCCGTGTATTACTGCGCCGTGGACCCACGGGGAGCGAAGCCGGGGCTGCGGCCGGGCACGAACCGTTTTGGGCGGGGCGGGGGCACAGTGCCGTCCGGGCCCGCAGGGGGCGCTGCCTGCATGGCCGCCAAACTCCATCCTGACCAGGGTGCACCTCCCTGAGTTCTCGAGAAAAATGAGCACGGCACACACAGCAGCCATTGACTGAAGCCAGTGAGTCAGGCGCAGCTGAGTCTTCGGCAGGACTGCACACCATGTGAGTGTGGGGAACAGCAGGACTGACTGCAAGGGCTGTGTTTGACACCTGAGGGAGATTCTCACAATTCTATTCCATCTTCTATCCTCTCCTCCTTCCCTAGTGCAGCACATATAAGAACCTGGAAGGAGAGGGGCCTAAAACCAGAACATCAGCAATGTGCTAAGTGAGAAAACTAATTGAGGAAATATCCTAGTGGAATGCAAGGTAACACAATACATTATCATTGGAATGGAAGTGAATAAATCAAATAAATGAAAGAAAGAGAGTGCCCCAAAACAAAAGGCCTTTCTCTAATGCTGAAGGGGAGAT